AAAGCGGACAACAGGATTTCAAATTCGGTGACAGACAGCTTCTAACGGGCAACTCCTCCAACAAAAAATAAAGCTGACAGGGATGCTGAGACAATGTTTTTTAGCTAGACATCTAGGGTCAGTTGTTGATCTTATTTTCATGTTTAAGATGATAATATGAGTGTCTACTTAAAGTTGTGGGGAAAGATGCCCCAACTTATAATTGATTCTCATGGACTTTATGTTTGAATGATATGTAGAATGATTATCTTGTTATAGTTAGTGTTCAGTCCCCATTTCTTAGAACAAGGATACAATTTTATATCGATCATTGCATTTGTCGGTATACTATGTAAAGAAAGATAGAAGTGTTAGAAATAGCTATCGTATTCTAGCTATGATTGTCATAAGCAGTGGATGCTGGTGGTCGTTGGTCGACAATGGTAGGTGGTGCATACCGATGTTGGCCGATGGTGCTCAGCAACTACAAATACAAGATTTCATAACTGAGTCTTCAATATGGTGTTATACATTACGATTGTACCTATGATATGATGTTAACATATAGAGATCCTTGATAGCAGCGAATGATCGAAGGTGGTCGACGACGATTGATAGGTGGTGATCAAAGGTGGTCGATGACTGCATATTGCAAAAGTTAATGTTGGGTCTTCAAAACTAAGTTATACATTATGAATGTATTTGGGATACATTTTTAGCAAGCAAGGGTCACCGACAACGACGAGCAAGGACAGTTGATGATAGCCGATGGTGGCTAACAATTAGTGGTCAATTGTGCTTGCTGGCTATGGGGGCCAGAAGTTATCAACAAGACTCCAATACGACCATACACATTACAATTGTATTTGGGATAAGATGTTAGCAAGCATGGGTGGTTGACGGTGTCGAGTAAGGACGGTTATATGCCCGACGATAGTTGATTGGAGGTGGTCGGTGGCTATGGAGGCCAAAAGTTGTTGTCATATCTCCCATACACATTACATACCAATTTGAGATAAAGTTAGTAAATAAGGGTCACTGATGGTAGCGAGCAGGGGTGGTTGATAGTAGTCGATGGAAGAAAGGCAGTGGTGAACGATGGTAAGTGGCTACTATAGTTAGAAGTTATTGTCGGATCAACAATATGATGTTATATGTTATTACTGTATTTAGGATATGATGTTATGAAGCACAGGTCACTGATAAAAGTAAGCAGGGACGACCGGCGTGCAATAATCACTGGTGTTCGACGGCTATATAGGGTGTAAGTTATCGCTGAGTCTCCAATATGATCTTATATATTAAGGCTACCATGGAGACTAGAAGTTATCTCTTTATATTTAGTCTAAAATAAACTCTGCATCCCCCCTTTAGATGAACAGAGGGGTCTATTTGAATAACTTTCTCAAACACCTGATTGGATAAATTGTATTGAATCTTCATGATTATAGGTGTTTTTTTTACTATTTTAAGTATCTTAATAACTACAGAATTGAGTGATCTTAGGCTCGTTGATTTTCTCTCATCGAGATGCTCAATTCTATAGTGGATACATTAAATTCTAAGTTAATTGGACTAGTGAATTGATGATCTAAAATATCAAAATATGTTTTAATTGTTTGACCTAAATTTCATTTACTTAATCAATCTGACCAATAGTTTAGTTAAAATTTGTTGTGAAATATATTGATTCGAAACGAATATGCTTTTCTCAACCAAGAAAGAATCACATTTGATCTCATGGATGAGAATGTAGTTCATGTGGTTAAGTGCAAATAAATAGGGAAATAAGTTTTGATTGACGTAAATTAGTGATTCTTGAGTGACAGGCTAGAACCTCTAATTTGATCCAGTGTAAAGGACTTAAGGGTAGATGTTAGCCTCTAGGCAGGGGATAGTGGGAGCTCTAGAGTGAGAGCTAGTATCTTCCCAACCAAACCAAGTATTTAAAAACTTGACTCAAGATTAGCCAATGTTCTTTATGTGCTTGTGAGAGGGTAAAGAATATGTATGCTCCTATTTGTCACAATATAATTTATAATAATTTTAATTATTCACTGATTATAATCTCATTGCGAGGAGAATTATACTTTCTAAAATTTGAACTCTTCTTCTTTTAGTGAACTAAACATTTACTTTAAGTTTAGAGATAAGAGTAGTTGATATAATTCACTTAGTTTAAAAAAAAATTTGACCTGCTTTCTTAGTAAAGTTTTGTGCAGCTTAATTAAAGTTTATTTGAGTTAATATTTTTGAATTTCTACATAATTAAACATCAATATTTTGATGTAAAAAAAACTCATGGAGTTATTTTGATAGTGAATATTTTCCTAGATATATAAATATTATAACTTTAGCATCAAGAAATTCAAGAAGAACTATCAAGCCATTTTTCAAAAGAAGATCATTGCCTTCCTTTAGAGATTGCAAACTACATTTGCAGCAAAAAGGTATACATCATACAAATTAGTATTTACCATTTTTTGGGAGAAAAATTAGAACATGGGATAATGAAATTGAGATCTTTCCAACACATTTTACTAAATTTGTAAATTGTATATAATACAATATAAAGGCATTTTTTTATGCTTTCAAAGAATTGTATAGTTTTTTTTTTTTTTTTTTTTTTTTTTTTTTACACCCAAACCCCCCCCCCCCCCCCCCCAAAATTTTTTTTTTTTTTTTTTGAAATTTTAATGAGTAAGAATGATTATGTTATTTTCCAGAACTCTAAAAAAAAGTATTAAGTTTCTATAAAGTAAATTTAAAAGTTAAAGGCTTGTATATGTGTTTCATGTGCCTCGATGATGATAGTATGTGTATCTAGGGAAAATATTTTGTACATTCATTGCACATCCGAACAATAGCCATGATGGGTCACATGCAAATGCACAGTGATGTGGCTGCATCCAGGCTATTGTTCTTACATGTAGATGTCCACACACAATATTTTCATGTGTTTAGTGCCCTTTTTAGCTCCCAGATAATTTTTTAAAGGACTTTTAAAACCATAAAATTAATTTTTTATGTTCCTGCTAGCATTTCTTATTTTTGGAAATTTACATATGTAATGCACAATTCTTTTATATTTACATATCTCGCACCTGAACTTCCATATTTACATATATAACATTTTGGTGCTTTAAATCTATTCATGAAAGGTGTATATCACTTTTAAGAGGGGGCAATAGTTCTTTCTTGATTTGATATTAATATTTGAGTGCTCTGTATGTAAATATGAAAGTTTATGTGTGAGATATGTAAAAACACAATATTTATGTGTTATGCATGTAAATGCCTTATGATGCATTTATATCTAACTTTTAGTAAAATCAAAGTGTGTTGAGCCAAATTTTTAAATTATTTTTTTGTCTTAGATGTCATGCTTAATTATGTTATGATCAAATTTATAATTTAAAGGGGATTACTTGGCTCATAACTCAAGGAAAGATTTATGTTAACATTTAAGGAGTAATCAGGCATCAAAGTTATTACAAATTTTGATTTCATATCATAGAATTTATAGAATTTAAAGTATTTTTATATGGATAGATTTGAATATTTAAAAATAAAGAGGGACATGACACTATGGTTGTTTTTTATTATGACTGTCAGCCACATATCTCCAAGGATATCCATCTAAATAATCAGATATGACATTTGAATAATAATATACTATCTAAAGAAAAAGAAATAATACCTTGACATAAACTTAATCATTTGGATGATGAAAATCTTTAGGATTATGAGTATACGTGAATCAAAGATTTTTTCCCCTACTTTATGGGTGTGTGATAGGCTTTATTTTATCTTGAGGTCTGATATCACTTGTTGACCTCATTATTTAGAAAGAAAAGAAATCATGAAGTCTAGAATAATTAAAAAAGATGCTAAATGATGTTTTTTATTGTTCATATAGTGTTCCACAAATGAGTTAGAAAATATATCTCATATTTTGATAATAGGAGGAGCTCTGAGATATCAAATGTATCAATGAATAAAGATTTGGTGCCCTCTTTAGAAGAAGGGATATTGATTGACTAGGAAGAAATGCACCATATCCCAAGTATCGATGGACATAAAGTATCAAACATTGGCAAAAATTAAGTGTTGATTGATTGGGAATGATGATGTCTGGTGATGATCAACAATCTATTTGATTGTTCTTCATGTAAGAAGGGGGAACAATAACTAGGAAAATTGGTGAGTAATAATAGTTGTTTGGACTTTTGCAAACATCAAATGATGAATAATTAGAAGTTTCAAACCTATAGCGATGGTCAATGGTTTTATTAGCCATTCTTCTCATGAAAAGGGAGATTGGTGGTACAAACAGATAATATAAGTGTGTATGTATGTATGAATATGAAATTTTTGAGTCATATTATCAAGCACAGTGATGTCTTTGGGAGACGTGAGAATAAGGAGCCACCGATCTCAATTATAGCTATGTGTAGCATCTTGTTAATAATAAAACGTTAAAATGACAATGACTCTTACTAATGATATGTAACACTAGATTCTACTTGTGTACAACAATCAATATGACTATGATGACTTACATTATGTTGCTCAATGATGAAATTATGGGTTCCTTATTACAATTAATAGTACCTTTTCTATAACCATATGTCATAAATTTGAGCCATATATTTTATAATGTATAGTTCATCATTCTAAAAAAAGAATAACTTGCAACTCACATTTATATAAATATCGTTCTTATGATCTCTAAACCTCTTTTAGAATGAATATTTAATGAATTAATCAATATGTGATGATACGTGAAATGCATTTATGTTCTTCAGATGAAAAAAAAATCTCGTTAGGAAGTATTAGCCAAATACTTTTTTCCCAAGGTATATATAATAAATATAAACAATGATTAAACCGACAACCAACGCAATTATGCATATTAATCATATTATTAAACCATATGGCTTAATTATTAAAAATATATATTTAACAATTAATTATGATATCTTCTGAAACTGTGGACTATGGATGTTTGTTGATGTCAGGTGATGTTTGAAAACCTCAAGGAAAGAGTGGATTATGCAATGGAAAAAGGGTGCGTCGATCTCAGCTTAGTGAGCTCGATGGAGGAGAAGGAAATCTTCAAGAAATGGAAAAATTTCAGTCGCATAGACCATCCTTCAATAATACAGGTAAATTTATATAGCATTCTTAGTAATATCTTTCAAATGTTTAATTAATTAAATTTTCCTGCTTCTTTGCTTTGATTTTATGGTTGATAGGAACATCCATTTTATAAACGCAGTGCTTGTTTTCTTAAACCACATTGTTAGCACACAACTAATCTTCATTTTATTAATAAGTAATCATATGAAAATTGGTGCCATATATTTATTAAGGACAGGGGTGGAACCAGGTTTTCTGGGTGGGCAATTAATCAGTCCCCTAAAATTTATAATTTATATATATAAATAATAAAATAAAAATTATTTTTCTTATGTACGTAGTTTAGGCAATTTAATAATTTTACCCTGTTTGATATACATTTTTGCCCAATATTTAAAAAAAAATTACATATTTGGTGATTTTGCCTATCCTGATAGATAATATTGACTCTATCCGTGATGATGAGATGGTATGTGATGTTAGGATTTATGAAAAATTGAATTTAATTTGCATGAGATATCTAAAACAAATGTTAGTATAGAAATAATTTAAAATTCTATGTTACATATGCAAATCTTCCCTTGTTTTTTTTTTAAATTCTATAATACTGTGTCCTTAAGTTACTCTCCTATAATGGAAAAGATGACATGATCTTTCAGCTCACTAGAGGGCAACTCTCATGATCAAGGAGACTAAAGAATATTTAGACCAGAGAAATTAGAGAATGATGGTTGAAGCAACAAAATCTTGTTCAAAATGGGTAGAAATATGACATATTTATACATTTTGTTCATAATTATGTGAAAACATGTTCATTTTATATTATTGATGATATAGTTTTTATTCATTGATAACCTCATAGCACAATTAGCACTTCCATCCCCATTTCTTTTAGCAAACTCCATAAATTTTCAACACTTATTACCCAAGTACAAGCAACCAAAGAAGCGATAACCAAATCAAGTCAGACTAACATACTAATTATATATATATATATAGTTCTTTTGGAAAGCAACAAGGACAAGGACATCAGTGGCAATCCCCTCCCAAATCTGATCTATATCTCCAGGGAGAAGCGCCCAGCTTCTCCCCACAACTTCAAGGCCGGAGCTCTCAACGCACTTGTTAGTCCTCATAATAATCCTCCTTTTTCCTTTTCTAAAAAAAAGATAAATTGAAATATTTTTATGTTGAAAATATAAGATAATAAGAGTAGCAAAAAATATAATATGTTTGATAGGAAGCATAAAACAACCTCATAAAACCAAGAATATATAAAGCATTATCATGAACACAAAATAAATCATCAAATAAGAAAAGCATTTCACGATCATAAATATAAGAAAATTAAATTATAACAATAAAATTGCCTAATTAAACTTTACTTTTAACATTTATACTACCCAAATGTTGTATATCTTACCAACAGTGTCATCATTTTGACGTATAAAATGTCAAAAACTCATCTTTTTGCATGCATGCAAAAGCTTCGTATCTCCGAAATCATGACCAATGCGCCATTGATCCTCACCTTGAACTGCGACATGTGTTCCAACGATCCAAACACGCCGCAGCGAGCTCTCTGCTACTTTCTTGACGACCAACTATCACCTAACCTTTCCTTCGTCCAGTTCCCGCAGCGGTTTGGCGCCGGACTTAACAAGAACGATATCTATGCAGGAGAGTTCCGGCGGGTTTTCATCCTCGGTTCATTTGGATTTGATGGATTGCAGGTTGCCAACTATGTTGGGACCGGCTGCTTCTTCTCTCGCCGGTCATTTTATAGCTTGCCACCGGCAGTCGTGGCTTTTTCTGATGAAGTCAGGCTGCCGGGTAGTTTACTGAGCTCAGAGTTTGTTTTGCTGAAAGCTCATGAAGCAGCTAGTTGCAGATATGAAGAAGAGCATAAAGAGTGGGGTTATCAGGTGTGTAACAAAAAATAAAATTTTATTTGATTTTTTTTAATGAACTTTAACAATGTTTTACATATATATCAGCAGTCACATAAATAGCTAGCATAGAAACTAATCATAAATTAATTAATATATTAAATTTATTTAACATAACATTTCTCAATTTGTAGGATTAAGTATGATAATCTTTTGGTCATATAATTAATGAACTTTATAATGTTTTACATATACATCAGCAGTCACATGAGGAGCTAGCATATAAACTAATCATAAGTTAATTTATATTTGAATTTACTTAACATAACATTTCTCAATTTGTAGGATTAAGTATGATAATCTTTTGATCATATAATTAATGAACTCTAACATTGTTTTACATATATATCAGCAGTCAAATAAGTAGCTAGCATATAAGCTAATCATAAATTAATTTATAATTGAATTTATTTAACATAACATTTCTTAGTTTGTAGGATTAAGCATAATAATTTTTTGCTCATATAATTAATAAATTCTCTGGTGATAGATTGGATTCAGGTATGGTTCTCTAGTGGAAGATTACTACACTGGTTACAGATTACATTGCCATGGATGGAAGTCTGTGTTTTGTAACCCAGATAGGCCAGCATTTCTAGGAGATGCGCCAAATAGTTTGATTGATGCGTTGAGTCAGTGCAAGAGATGGTTTGTAGGACTTTATCAGGTTTGTTTCTCCAGATATTGTCCTATTTTCTATGGGAGCAGAAAGGTTTCGTTGATATTTGGATTATGTTATATGCATTATGCAATATGGGCATCTTGGTGCATTCCATTGACTATATATGGTCTTCTTCCTCAATTGGCTCTTTTCTATGGCAAACCTCTTTTCCCAAAGGTATGTCTATCAATTACCTTATAAGTGTATAACTTTTGTTAGAATTATGTATATCTATATAAATATATTTCAGTATTGATAGTTTCATTTGTCTCAGAGAGCATGAAAATCTGAATTTGATTAATTCATTAATAATTGCAACTTATGTCAATTGATCTTGTTGAAAACATACTTTTTGAAGAAAGGAAATTTGAGAATGTTTTGGTGGGTGAATAGTATGTAATGTTAATGAGTTCTTAATATATTTAAATTAAGGTTTAAGTACAATTGAGAAGGAATTCTTGGAAAAAATAAGAATGAGTAAAATAAGCATCCTTTTTTAAGAGAGTTTGTGTAGTTTTTTAAGTTTAATTTTATTTTGTGGTGAGTTATAATTTTGAGTTTATAAAAGTTTAGCAAACTCATAAAGTTGCATGAAATTAACATATAACTGTGAAACAATATGCACTTTGTTTTGGTACCTATTTAGTCTAAGATTTTGTTTTTTATGGCAGGCCTCAGATCCATGGTTTTTCCTCTATGTCTATCTCTTCTTAGCCACCTATGCCCAAGATCTCATTGAGTACATGGAAGTCGGTGGATTAATTCGAAGATGGTGGAGTGAGCAAAGAATGTGGATGATTAAAGGTGTCACAGCTTCCTTGTTTGGAACCTTGGATTTTATACTTAGCCAAATAGGGATCTCAGCCCCAGGGTTCACCTTAACAAACAAAGTCAAAAAAGGAGAAGAAAACAAGCTATATGACAATGGCAAGTTTGTCTTCGGCATAGCTTCGCCTTTCTTCTTCTCACTGGGGATTATAGCCATTATTAATCTTATATCCTTCATTTATGGGTTCACAGAGGCTTTAAGAAGAGTTGGAGGGTTGGATGAGATGCTTATTCAATTGTTGCTATCTGGATTTATTGTCGCAAGCTCATGGCCTGTATATGAGGCAATGTTTGTCAGAAAAGATTGTGGGAAAATGCCAGGAAGTGTCACCATGGCCTCTATTTTTCTCAGCTCAATATTCTTCTATCTCGGGCACTCATATTTTTCATAAAATGATTAGCTCGATTAATGTTTTGTATCTTGTTAGTAATTTAATTATGAACAGTTGAGTAGCTATTGGATGATGTTATGGTAGCTAAATAAATAAGGGATTACAAATTATTTTTGTTGGATTAGTAATTTGAATAATGTACTCTCTACCGAGGAAGAAATAAAATTGCCAACTTTTTCTTGTTTAGGTACTCTAATGGAGATTTGTTTCATTTTTTGTATATATTTCTTTTAAATGAAAATTCTGGCCTGGTTGCTGAACATGTAATATTTATTTTGATAATAGCTGGCAGGAAAATTGATTGTTTGTGTGGTTCCTTTTTGAGGCCAACACATCTTGTTTATGTTTATACTCTAGGATCCAATCTAGGTATACAAGAACTTTAACAAGATCTTTAATAAAATTTCATAATGATTAAGTGGACTTTAAATTAAGCATTGAATCCTAATGCTAATAACAATCCATCAGTTTTGATTTGAAATGGAATTAAAATTGGTAATCAACTCACCCAAATAGAAGTCGAGCCGGCCACAACGATGCCATTAAGAAACACGTAAACCCAATAGACCTATTTGTGGGACCCACAAAATCAATTGAACCCAATCACCCAAGTGTTTGGTCTAATAAACCTAAGTGAGTTGTAGGTCATTGAAAACTAGACATCAAGGTTCAAAACTAGATGAAACCAAATTGAACTATATAATATTGTTACTATACTTAACTGAATTAAAACAAAATCAAAGCCAATTGAACTAAGATTTCTTCAGCGGGCCCACTTAGCCTATATGAACAAAATAAGTTAAATTGAACAAAATCAATTGAAATTTGAACCAATTATACCCAAATTTAGTCCAATCAATTTATAAACTAAAATAACAAATCAAATATAAAATTAATAGGTGGCAACTTTACATTAATTCAATAACCAACCTGACCCGTTTAACCCATTTGAACATATTGAACTAAATCTAAATTCAATTCAAATTAAAGAAATTTATTTAATCTTAAATTTTTTTAATTATTACTAAAACAACCCAAATTGAAGTCTAATATAGTAAGTTGGGATATTTGAACCAATTTGGCTTAATTGGCTTAGATTGAGTTAAAATTCAAATTACATCAATCTGAACATCTTTCAAAGACAAAATAATAATAATAATAATAAATAAATAAATAAATAAATAAATCAATCAAAGAAAACCTATATCAAGCTCAACTAAATCAAACATGGGTCAATTTGACCACTTGATCTAATTTGACCCAAATGAATCATATTGAATCAAAATCAAATTAAACCCAAATTAATTCATTTTAAATTTTTCTCAAAGTTAAATCATTAATTAGACATATTTCAATGCAATTTAAGACTTGTTTTGGTCGAATTTGTTCAATTGTGTCAATTAGCCCAAATTGATCTAGCTAGACCAAAATTAGTCAAAATCAAATAAAATCAAAATTACACAAATATATATATGTAGATACATACATATATATAGACACACACAGACACAGACACACAGACACACAGACATACTTATTGCATTATCAGCTCTATATTGACTTCATTGCATGTAGCATTGGCTAGAAAACCATGTCTTCTTCATGAAATATTGAATTATTTCTCTTTGTAGGACTTGTTTAAACCTTCTAGTAGGACATTGGCATCACATCACATGATATGCTCTACATATTTGTATAGACTTGTTGCATGTTCATTAGGCTACTCGCTCACTACCAGAACACATACTTACATCCACCCACTTATTTCAACTGCCTTATCTTGCCTAACTTGCCTATTCTTCTTCCAGAAGGGTTGCAACCTAGTGCTATCATTTTTGGCCGATAAACATACTGATGCAATAGATCATCCTTGACCATAGATTGAGTCATGGATTGCCTCTTTGTAGTGGATCTTTGTGTTTGGAACTAATTAATTCCCATTTTCTTGCAAGTCATCCTTTCGTAGGACTTGGTTGGTTTCTTGTATATAGGAGCATATTTAAAAAAAATAATAAATTTAAGAAATTTAAAACTAGTCGGTTGGATGGTAATATAAATATTATTTACTTGAAATAGTCCTTAAATGTTAGGGAAACTTTTTTAACCTCAAAATAAATAGTATCTACTAGTGACTATTTAAATAAAAATTCCTGCAATCAATCTAGGTGAATCACTTCAGAGTTACAGTATTTGAAATCTTGATTGATAATTTGTTTTTAGCCTTTTTTTAGGCGAGGGATAGACAGTGATTCAAGAATGATGGCAACCCTAGAAAATGCGAGATTGAGAAATGGGAAGGGAAGAATTATATAGAGCGAAGGAGATTAGTTCATTTCATCTTGATACCCTAAAACTCACAAAGTAAGTGGATTTGTTCATTTCATCTTGATACCTTTATACTATTTGAGGGAAGTATTAAAAAATTTACAAAAACTTTTGAAGTCACATTATATACCTATTAAACACTGGATATTCACCATTTACCCATAATCCACTAAGACCCACTATAGCTTTCTATATATATAGATTAATAGATGTATATATATATATGTATATATATAGATAGATAGATAAATATATATATGTATGTATATGTTGGCACTATTTTTTGTATGGGGTTTGCCCTTAAGAAGCTGTCGGTCATCGGAATTGAAATCCCGTTGCCCGCTTCGGAAGGACGTTCTAAAAATTTTTAGTTTTAAAAAAGATGAAGTCAAACTGACCCCATAATTTTCATAGTTTAGATGAAAGAGCGTTTTACCTCAAATCCTGTATCTATCCCAA